GTTATGCGTGCCCAGTTAGTACAGGTATAATTAAATAAAGTGTATCTTCCTTAAACCCGTCTGGTATTATACCTAGGAGAAGAATTTCCAGTTTAAACAAGATTTGGTCTCCCACCATTTGTTCTAACCATGATTGAATCATTTTCCAATATTTTTTTGCCTCATTGCACACCCACCACATATGATTAAAAGTGCCTGGTGCTTTTTTTTACACTTCCAACAATTTGGGGCCAGATTTTTAAACATTTTGGAGAGCCGTGCTGGGGGGAGATGCCATCAAAAAAAAGATTTTTCTTAATGTTCCTGGGCTGAACGTATATATTCACTGCAAATAGATTGTAGAAAATATTAAAAAATATTTTTTAATTATGCGTTCTCCTTTATTCTACATCGCATTTCCAGTTTTGCAACAACTACTGGCTGTATCAAATCCTTTTAAAATATATATAGTATTATACACCCTGATCATAACCATTATTCTCACGGTCATATGGTATGATTGCTTTTAAATACATGATATTGTACATCATGGTTATATCCCTTATTTTCATAGTTGTACAATGACGCTCTATATATTTCACATTCCATACATTTTAATCCATAGTCACGTACAAGCTGGTATTAACATTGCTTGTGGTATATATTCTACTGTATACCTATATACCTGTATTTATTTCTAGTTTGTTGATCTTCTTTCATTATTAAGTTTCTAATCTCTTTTATTCACTGGAAATAGATCGTAGAAAACAGCCTGAGTCAAATGAAAACAGGAATATTTTTGACTATGAACTGTGAGGAAAAGGAAGGTTGGAGAGAAATGTAAAAATATTTGTAAAAATATTAAACGTATAGAATGTAGATTTAGGATGTTACTCCCACATACCATCACTCTGCTAAATAACTAAATCCCACAACAACATTGTCAAACTGTTTACTAATACTTTATTACTATTATTCTTCTCATCCTTCCTATTACCTATCTCCTCCTACTTATGACTATAAACTTGTTGCTTGTATCTTTATGAGTTATTATTGTTTTATTTCATTTCCTAGTATGATTTTGATTGCTTATTTAGTATCCTATGATACAATACAATAGTAGAGTTGGAAGGGACCTTGGAGGTCTTCTAGTCCAACCCCCTGCCTAGACAGGAAACCCTATACCGTTTCAGACAAATGGCTATNCGTGCTTCAAATGTCAGTTTCTGAGCCAACATTTTGGTTGCTAAGCAAGAGCATTGTTAAGTGAGTTTCACCACATTTTACAAGTTGGCCACTCCCACCCGGTCACATGGCTGGCAAGCCACTCCCACCCGGTCACATGGCTGGCAAGCCACTCCCACAAAGCAGGCCACACCTATAGAAGAGGTTCTTAAAAAAATTGAAACCCACCACTGGTTAAGAGGCTTTGGACAGCTGTATGAAAGATGGATGAAGTTCAATCCCGCATAGGGCAGCTGTTCTGAGGCTACTTCAAAGATAGTATTCAGCCAGTTCGAATCAGTTCACTCAAACCAGTAGTGGAAATCGTGCTTGTCCAGCTCACCCTGATGCCGTCCTATTTAGGCACATTTTCAAGCCAAAGCACATATGTGGAAGGCCCGAGATCATGCACGCTCTCACATCTGCGAATGGGTAGGGAAATTCAGTAAATACCACCAATGCTCTATTCATATCCACAAGGAGATTGGGAAATCAGGTTACCCGGAGGCAAAACTCACAACCAATGTCTCACTTAAGCGACATAAATTTGGCCGTAAGCCAAGGACGGCCTGTATTTGCATGGAGGGGGGGGGTGTAAGGACTTTTGGCTTCATTGAGAAAGAGAAATCGTTTTTCCACCAATCAAGATTAGAGCGGATGACGTTTAATTTATGTCTATTGAGAGCCCTTATGTTATTGCAGTTGAGATAAAAGTAATCATTAACACATTGGATTGTTATGGCAGATTATCTTGTGCGCTAAGCTCAGGTTGGAATGTAGACGGGTGGTAGAAGGAATTTTATTACGAGCGGAGGAGTTGAGTACTCTTCTTGTGAAATACCTCTGGACCCTCTCTAATGTTTTAATTTCTGAAATGCAGTGTGCACTTATCTTAAAATTTGGCAATCCTAAATTGCATTAAGCGAGGGATACAATCAAGATCAAGGGAGGTCCTAATACCACTTTGTAAAGCCTTACTAAGACCACACCTAGAATACGGCATCCAGTTTTGTTCACCACACTATAAAAAGGATATTGAGACTCTAGAAAGGGTGCAGAGAAGAGCAACCAGGATGATGAGGGGACTGGAGGCTAAAACATATGAAGAACAGTTGCGGGAACTGGGCCTGGCTAGTCTAGTGAAGAGAAGGACCAGGGGAGACAGGAGAGCATCTTCCAATATTTGAACAGCTGCCACAGAGAGGAGGGGGGTCAAACTATTTTTCAAGCCACTTGAAGGGCAGAGAAGGAATAATGGATGGAAACTAACCAAGGAGAGATTTAACCTGGAAATAAAGAGAAAGTTTCTAAGAGTGAGAACAATCAACCCATGGAACAGAAGTTGCCTTCGGAAGTTGTGGGAGCTTCATCCCTGGAGGCTTTCAGGAAGAGACGGGACTGCCATTTGTCAGAAAGGGTGAAGGGTGTCCTGCTTGGGCAGAGGGGTTGGACTAGATGATCTCCAAGGTCCCTTCCAATCCTGTTGATCTGTTAAATCCGCTTGTTTCTTCCCGAAACCTTCCCTGGTTTTCCGGAACAGCCTGCCACTGCGATCCGGTGGGATCCGTCCGGGATGACTGCGAACAGATGACCGGCTTGTGTTCCTGCAAAAACGGGATTACCGGCACAAAATGCAAGCAATGTCCCAGCGGCAGCAAGCTGGGAATGTCCGGTTGTGAGAAAGGTAAAGTGACTTTCGTACGCAGCAGCTTTGCGGGCTGCTGAAACGGTTGACGCTTCTCTACTGGAGAGCCACAAAATGCCGTATTTTTCAGAGTATAAGACGCTCCGGAGTATAAGATGCACCTTAGATTTTGGGGAGGAAATCTGCCCACCAGGTATTCATCTGGCTAGTTTGGTCAACTTCAGCACATAGGTTTGCTTGTTTTGAGCACATGTGCCAGAGGGGGGTTCCTACCGATTTGCACCAGGCGAACCTTGTAGTGATAATTTGGCCTAGGTCGCAGAACTAGCAGCGACCCAGGCTGGCCATGCCCCCAAACTGGTTCCTCAATCTCCACTGCCATTGCCGCCATGTTTTTTTTAGCTTTTCTTGGTCTTCACGCATGGGCAGAACAACTCACAGTGAAATGTGCATGCACAAGCAACAAAGCGCATGCGAAGAGAACTGGTTCCAACGGCAGTAGGAACCCACCCTTGGCGTGCGCTTTTTATCTTCTGGTTGGCAGGGGTCTATTGCCGGTTCTCTCCAGGGCCCTTCGTGTGCATGCGCAGTACAACTAAAATTGCTCTGCGCGTGCACAGAAGCAAAAAAACCAAGATGGCAGTGCCTACGGCGATGCCGGGAGAACCAGTTTGGTGGCATGGCAGGCCTGCGTCGCTGCTGGTTCCAGTGACTCAAGCCGCAAAGCTAGTACTGGTTCGGCCGAACCAGGCCAAACCGGTTGGAACCCACCACTACTGGTTGGGGATGAAAAAACAGCTTCTAAAGCACCGCTGATCGTCGGAGAGAGAAGCAATGAGAAAAGCAGGAGAATCCCGAAAGATCATTTCACTTGTTAGCGCCTCATTAAGGCTGAAAAAAAAGCTACATTCGGAGTATAAGACGCACCCAAATTTTCAGTCTCTTTTTTGGGGGAAGGTGTGTCTTATACTCTGAAAAATACAGTAATTTATTCCTGGGAAAGGACTAAATTGGAAGCTAGGATCTGCTTACGTTTGCCCTGAATCTCCTGCGTGATCCCCGCAGATCTCTCGGCCGCCTCGTCCTGTGCTGAAATGACTTGTGAATTTGGGGCGTCGTGCGTGGAAGTGAACGGCCATCCCCAGTGTGAGTGTCCGTCATTGCTGTGCACGGAAGCTGACACCTCCAAGGTGAGCAGAGACAACATGGGTGGGCAAATTCGCACTAGACTCCCACTAGATCAGGCCCAGTTGAATTCAAGAACTATTTTTTTAAAAAAAATGTTTATTTATACATTTTTCTTCTTCCTGAGCTGTGTGTTGTCTGGTTCCATTTGTTCATATCAAGTCTTTTTTTTTTTTATAACATAATATTTTATTTCCATTTCATTCTATACAATCACATGTTTACTGTGGATAACAGGAGCATATAACATTGAGTAATAAACACAGCCCTCACTTATATAGAAAATGCCCCCTAAAATACAAACCCAATATACCACCTTGACCCACCATACACCCTCTTTCAACCCCCTCCAACTTTCATTCTTCCTTCTCATATACCCCTCTACAGCTACTTCCCCTCCCCCTCTATCTAACCCTAACCCTCTCTTAATCCATTCCCTCCCTTCCTTCTCCTCCTCCTCTCTCTCACCCTCTCCCCCCTCCTTCTTCTCACTCAACTCCTCCCTTCGGTATACTTCTGTTACCTTCCAATATATTCGGTTTGTATTGTAGGGGGCATTTTCTATATAAGTGAGGGCTGTGTTTATTACTCAATGTTATCTGCTCCGGTTATCCACAGTAAACATGTGATTGTATAGAATGAAATGGAAATAAATATATATATATT